ATATAATTATATATTAACTTAATTTATTGTAACTTTATTATAATTATATATATACTTTCCGCCGTCCAGCGCCACGCTACGGAGAGTTTAGGCGAGTAAGTTGTTTACTATCGTCTGTACAGTATGTAAATTAGGTACCGTAAGTCTAATACAGTACTGTAATTTTATACATTTCTTGTGAAAGAAACATTTCTTATTCAATGGCCATAAAAATTATTTATATTAATGATGTCTCCAAAGTTCAACAAAGTTTTCGCAGAAAAATAACTTATAAGAAATCGCGGCCGTGGTTTGGTGTGTTGCTCCGTGATGAAAATAAGCTTGAGCAATGGCATGGTTGAACGGTGCACACTCGGTAAGTAATCCTACAATTTTTTGTTTATAGCGTAGTTAATATGGATTATTCCCCCCCCAAAAAAATATACGTATTTTGGAAATGTTGAGTTGAATTAGTCTAGAATGAACTAATTTTATTGAAGAAAACCTTTCAAACAGCTGTAGTTCATAAACTTCACATGTCGGACTGTGATTGGCAAGGACTCGTAAGAAATCTACCGTGTATCGGAATGTATCTACCGTGTTATAGGGGGGGGTCAACTGTACATTGGACTCACACAGATCTTGAGCAACTCCGAAGGAAAACAAGAACAACACTTACTAAGCATAAACATCATCCTAAATCTGCCACAGAAAGATTAACCCTTCTACGTAAAGATGGCGGACGTAACCTGATTGACATTGTAAACCTTCACTATAAACAAATACAGTCACTGTGAGAGTTTTTCTACAAGAAACATCACAGTTACATAAAGCAGTAACTCTAGCAGACTCAAATAACACACCATTAAACTTACACTCACATCATACAGACTTGACACAACATATAAAAAAAGCATAGACACCATTAAGCAATTGTGGGCTCAAAAGGCACTCCATAGCAGGCATCCTTATGACCTGGCCCAGGATTTTATTGACAAAACTGCGTCAAACAGCTGGTTAGATCGAGGATGCCTCTTTGGGGAGACAGAAGGATTCATGATTGCTATACAGGATCAGGTCATAAATACTAAAAACTACAGAAAACACATACTCAAAGATACAACACTCACAAATGACACATGAAGAAAATGTCACATCATGCCAGAAACTATACAACACATTACATCTGGGTGCAAGCTCTTGGCACAGACAGATTATTTACACAGACATAATCAAGTAGCAAATATAATTCACCAAGAGCTTGCAAACAAACACAAATTATTAGACATCCACAAACTATACTACAAATACATTCCACAGACAGTATTGGAAAACAACACGCACAAAATGTACTACGACAGAGCCATAATCACAGATAAAACAATTTACCACAACAGACCAGACATCACACATTGACAAACACAATAAAATCACATACATTATAGACATAGCCATTCCAAACACTCGCACTGAAAAAATCAGTAAGTACACAGAACTCGCCCAGGAAATAAGGCATCTGTGGAGGATGGATAGTGTGCTTATTGTAACTGTTGTTCTCTCCTGTACAGGTGTGATACCATACACACTACACAAAAGCCTGGGAACATTACAATTGAATAGAAATACATACATCACACTACAGAAGGTCACTACTGTGTTTCCCCGAAAATAAGACAGTGTCTTATATTAATTTTTGCTCTAAAAAAGGAGCTAGGTCTTATTTTCAGGGAATGTCTTATTTTTTCCATGAAGAAGAATTCACATTTATTATCGAACAAAAAAATTTCCAAGTCAAACTTAGACGAGAGTGACGTATATCCGGTTGTGTCAAACCTTCGCCTTTTTATAGCGTCAACATCGGGCTCAATGATCAATTAGTGCCTACTGAACCGTAGCATTAAGCAAATGTAATGTGGCATGATTTCCGGCCGACCAATTAGCCATCACCAGCCATAACGTTATGCAAACCTGTGATTCCCAAGCCATAGTCTTATGCAAATCATGCCGTGTGGTGCACAATATATCCAAATTCACAATAAAACAAGAGGCTACTGTAATAAATTAGACTACTGCTAAACAAATTAAGCACTGCATGAAAAATTGGATTAATAAAATTATTCTTCATTACCATAAAAGGAAGGTATCATATGTAAATTAAAAGCTACTGAAGAAAGTAGAAAAAATTTTTCCATTATAATTACTTTTTCTCCAAAGATTTTCCAATAACTTAAAAACATTTAAAATTATATGTATAGTAATTTATCATTACCAAAATTGATGAATAATATGGTGTTTCCTTTGGATCCCACCATGGTTTTCCTGTTAAGCCATTTACATTGTAGAGAGATCTCTGATACACAGAAAGGAATAAGCCGTCTTTAACACCTTGTTCATATACATTCATAGCCTAATAATTAAAAAAAATGATTCTTAAACATTATAAAGTTAAATGTGTATCTTACAATAAAATCAATATTTTATTTCACTCATACAAAATTATTCTCTTACATTTTCAATAAAGAAAGAAAGAAAACAGAATTTTAATTTTGTAAATTTAATTTGCAAAATATCAACTAACTTCTTTTGGTTTTCCTATTCTGTTAAGAGCATCACCAAGATGAAAGAAAAATCTTCCATCTATTACCCCTGATTCTCTAGTGGCAATTCCTTCAGATAAGTATTTTATTGCTGCTGGATAGTCATTGTCTTCTGTCTTCAATATGAATCCATAATGAACTTTGGCAAATCCATTATCAGGATGCCTTTGTAAAACCTATATTTTAAAAAATATTTTAAATTATTGTATTCTAGTATTTAAACAAAAATAAGCTGATGACTACATTATTTCATTATTTATATATTTCCTATTGAAGGACTGGATTCACAAATACTTTGTATTGTAAGTTCAAAATTACAAGAAGTCTTCTATTTAAGAAGCACATCATAATTTACAATATTAACTTTTATAACTAGTTAAATTCAAACTTGTGTGAATGTTGGATTCAAAGGACAATAATTTAACCGAAAAACCTCTTAAGTGGTTATAAAAGTGAATGCTTACATCTGGTGAATATTGCTAATTTTAGCTTCATATTATCTCATTTATTATAATTTAACACTATTTCTTCCTTTACAAAAATTTTTACTGTAATTTGTCCATTTCTTTCAAACTGCGGTATTTCTAATATGACTAATACTATCAATTTTGAATAATTTTTATTTTATGTCTGGCTCTTACAATTATCTTTTATATTCGGGGGTGGCCTGATGAGTGAGGCAATAAAGCAACTGACACAAGCAGCAAAGTGAGAGTGGCAAAATTAATGGTCAAAAGTGTTAAAAAGGAGAAAAATAAGTCAAGTGCAGTAAATGTATAATGAAGTTGTTATAAATAATTCATACAAGAATGGCAGTGCTCAAAGTGCTCTTTAATATCAATGCTTCTGGAAGCAAGGGTGGCCATTTAGCCAGCACTGATTATACTTAGTGATAGTTTACTTTGTTTCTTCGTATATCATTTATAACACATTTAATGCTACCGTGTTTCCCCGAAAATAAGACAGTGTCTTATATTAATCTTTGCTCTGAAAAATGCGCTAGGTCTTATTTTCAGGGAATGTCTTATTTTTTCCAGGAAGAAGAATTCACATTTATTATTGAACAAAAAAATTCCCAAGTCGAANATTTATACTTTTTTGTAAATTTACATCCATTAGAACATTTAAAGTTAGTATCGCCTAGTAGTCGTCCAAATTCTTCTGCTTTTTCCAGTAGTATCAGTCCATTTAGTGCTAAGTCGGAACTTCTGCATTGGTTAAACCACTTAATTACAGTGGCATCAATATTGGCTTTTTCATATAACTTAATTTTTTTCTATGTATTTGTAGCTAGAACTATTTTAAGATGACCAAGACAAAACCTTTCTCATTTGTTTCTAGCCATTTATAGATGAGTATGAATGTTTTCAGCCTTCTTCAGGTACACTGTGTTCTGTTAGAGCATTGGTTGGTAGAAATTTAAACGATGTCAATGTTTACATAGGTATCATCTTATTAGTGACGTCATCGTTGATGATAAGATATAGACGATACTAAGGGCGTTAAAGTTTTTCTTTCGGTAAAAATGAAAGGTGTGTGGATAGTTCATGATGGGATAATCGCTAAAGTTGGGAAATAAAATTGGAAAATAACTGTGCAATGTAAAGAAGATGCACTATCACGATGGGGGTTAATGGGGAGTGACATCATAGTTGATAACAGAGCATAGACGATGTTAAATAACTTATGATATAATAAGAAAAGGCGTGCGAACGACCATAGATGGAAAAGGTGCTATGCTTGTAAAGCAGAATTGGAAAAATAAACGCGACAAGTAAAAAAGCGCTAATGGTTGCACGAGGCGAGGGTGTGCTGGACTGTTTAGTTTAAGGGGTTATCGAAGAGTGATTTCCATGTGGAGGAAAGCGAGTCTGCATCTCTGCTGTTGATACAACTGTCTTTGAGGGATTGTTTAAATATTTCAATGGTTTCAACTGTTCTAAGCTTGCTATTGTCATGCATAGGAATAATAATCTTTGCCTCTTCCCATTTGGTCGTTATACTAGGTTCGCTTGCAAACTGGGCTAGGGTGGAAGTGAACTTTTTGTTGTATGCATCGTATTTGTGTTCAGCTATCCTCCTTTTAAGTGATCTATTGGTTGAGCCAATGTATAAGTTTTTTGCACGGGTTAGATCTGCTGTCCTCTTGTGGCCACCCTCGCCTCATGCAACTGTTAGCACTTTTTTACTTGTCGCATTTATTTTTCCAATTCTGCTTTCCAAGTGTAGCACCTTTCCCATCTATGGTCGTTCACACGCCTTTTCTTATTATATCATAAGTTATTTAATGATGTCAGCATTGTCTATGCTCTGTTATCAACTATGACGTCACTCCCCATTAACCCCCTATCGTGATAGTGCATCTTCTTTACGTTGCAGTTTTATTTCCCAACTTTAGCGATTATCCCATCATGAACTATCCACACACCTTTCATTTTTACCAAAAGAAAAACTTTAACACCCTTAGTATTGTCTATACCTTATCATCAATGATGACATCACTAGTAAGACAATACCTATGTAAACATTGACACCATTTAAATTTCTACCAACTGATGCTCTAACAGACCACAGTGTACCTGAAGAAGGCCAAAAACGTTTGTACTCATCTATAAATGGTTAGAAACAAGTGACAAAGGTTTTGTCTTGGTCATCTTAATCTTTTTCACTTGTCCATTGCCATCTTGAAAACTTTCCAAAATTTTCTCTCTGTTTTTTATTATTGTGCACACTGTAGAATATGCTAAACCAAAGTCTCTGCACACATCTGCCTTATTTCTTCCACTTTCAACTGCTTTAATTATTTCTATTTTGCAGTCCAATGTTAATGCTTTCCTTTTTAAGCTAGCCATTTTACCAATTTGATGCTAAACTACAACACGAGTATGAGAGCTATGCAGACTAACCCACTGTCATGTTGTTTAAAGGGGTGGTGAATCTCACCCCACTGATGTCAGGTGGTGAGAGTACCACCCACAGAATTCTAGGAAGTGGACTCTGACCCTAGGAACTGAACACTTAGTACTTACTTTGTTAAATAAAATTCATAACCTAATTTTGTAAATTTGAGAGTACTTCAAATATGACGTTAAAACAGAGTTTTATGTCGTTACAAGTGAGTTTTTTAAATTATCTAGTATAGTAAAATTGTGGGACTGATAAAAATTTGATGTTATATTAGGGTTGTCGTTACATCCAATGACATTATAATTGGATTAAACTGTATATGATATACATACAGTCAGTCATATCATTGTAAGTAATGTATCAAATATATTTTCATGGTTGGGTACTACCAAATGAAAACCTACCTTGGTTAACTTTATATTGGATCTTCATACACAATAATAATGTCATAATAAAATAATTAAAATTTTGGACAAATCAGTATTGATATTGAATTTATACAGTGGTGTTGACACCATTGAATCATCAATGCAATATTTTCCAATATCCAATTTGGAAAAACAAATATTGTATAATATTTTATAAATGTTACTGATATTTGAAATTAACAGTTACAAACAATCTAGAGCTGCCAATTTTCAGAGTAACAAACTCCAAACAATGTGACCAAAACATGACAAATTAAAAACATGATAAGCAAAATTGCAATTAGCCTGCAATCTTCCACCTATCTTCTCTGAAGTGAAAGTTGTATTTTAGCTTGCTTAGAAAGAAGCTGCTTCATATAACAACCCGATGGATTTCTTTGGTTAAATGTAATAAGTTGTCAAATAAATGATGTTGTGCAGTCACATTTTATACAGGAAACAGATAATACAAAATACAGTCCCAAAACAACCAAACTTGATGGATTGTAATCAAATTGGCTGATAGGATGCTGAAATTCTATACATTTAATCCAATCACTGTTTAGAAAAAGTGACATCAGAAATATTTATTTTACTATTATCTCCTAACATGAAAGTTATTAAACTTAGAACACACTTTTTTCTAAATTCAAACAGGAAGGTATTACAGTATTTCCATGCATATTTTACACACCTGTATCTCCAAGAAATATTTTTAGGGAAAATAAAATATTCAAGTATTTTTCGCATGGAAAATGAAAGACTTCTCATACTGAACCATTTAATGTAGGAGATAGGACATGAGTTGGCCAATAAGCATTTTTATGGTATACTAGCTTACCCGTCACGCATTGCTGCGATCTCAGAAGAAAGGAAATTCAAGCAAACTCGTTATGATAAAATTCAATTTACATTTTATCATTTTTATTGAAACTTATTATTCATTTTCATCAGGAAAACATTTCAAAGTGTAGTTTCAATTCTATTTATTTATTGGAGTGTTTGTGGGTACACTATATTTTTTGTTTTTCCGTCTGGTGCGTACACGAATAAATCAGAATGTTTTCCGACGCGTGAGCCGGCCACATACAGTTGTCCATGCGAGAAGCACGGATTCTCCAAATTTGGCCCACACACTCGCAGTGATTGTCAGAAGTGCGATATTCCCCATTTTTATATATATATATATTTTAATCCTTTATAATTTTAATTATTTAATTGCTCCTTTGTCTCTTCCTTGGCATGTTGTGAAATTTCTGATAGTTGGATAATAAACTGTTTTATTGTAATTTGTCTTTTTAAATTATTTTGAGTCCATAATAAAATTTGGAAAAGGGGAGATACCTAGATCGGTAAAATACGCGAATTTTTTCCTACAACTTCGATTGTTGTTCTTGGTACAGTTAAGGTTTTAACAAAGATCAAGCGAATACATAATTAGCAAAAAAAAGTTGAAATAAAGTGATTAAACAAAAATTATTACAAATATCGTAAATAACAGTTCACAAATGCATATATAGAGATATTTTTTGAAGGGGGGAAATGGTCTTCACAATTTGAAATTGATCGAACACACGTGCTCGAATGCTTGTGTAAACACGCGCCATCTATCGTAGGATAAATGCCAGAAACCTTTGTGGGAGTGTATTAAAAAACTTCCCAAAGCTTCATGGCAATCGGATAAACGGTGTGGTAATGCATGAAAAACACACACACATTCATTTTTATATATATAGATAAGCACTTTGTTTACCCTCATTCTCTTGTAGAGGTTTAACAGTTCAGTATCTTTGTATTTGCTGGAGACTATGATGGTGAGGAATACGGACAGTTGTTAATTGTGATGTTTATAGCACTTTAAT